TCTATAACAAGCAATATGTATATATAAGTTAGTAACTTGATTCGTTTTATAGTTAAATGAAATACAGGCCGATAAAGTCATACTAATCTTTTTACTAAATATGTATATCGGGACAGGATTTACCAACTGTTTGATATCACAGATGCAGATATTAATATCCGTCAGCACTAATTAATTAGTGCACGTAATTTTATCAACTAATGAGGTATCTAATCTCTACCAAAATTTGTGTTAAAACCCAAAACTTATTAGGCAGCGAAGATAAAATTAATGCACTAAGCAAATTACATAGCACATTTGTGTCCATGCCATATCTGTTTAAAGGTATTAAGCATAATACTTTGGCCTTATTTTTGTTAAATGATAGCTATTTTTATAGCAAATCTGATTGTGCCGACATTCTGATTTCACGTGAGAGTGCCGTGCTTCGGTACAAATAGGCTTAACTGGAATAAAACCACGGGCTCATAAAGAACTGACGTGAACCGGCAATTGCATTGCGTTATACTGTGTGAGTGCTGTCACCGGTCTTACCGGAGGCTTAACTCCTCCCCAACCCCTGAAAGGATGGCAACGTGCTTATAACTCTTAATGATATGGGCAGCGTCAATTGCTATCCAACAGGTAATCCGGACGGTCATTTCCCGCATAAAGTATACAGATATCAGATAAAAACTAAAAAAGTGTTTCGTCACGACGACTTATCCCGAAGGTCAAGTTAGGAACACTGAACTGGTTCGAAATACAAGGCTTAAAACCTCGCCGCCAAGGTCCACACTCTTTTTCTTTTTTTTTCACCGAATTCTTCGCCGCATCGTTTTACTAATCGGCCGAAAGAATTTCGATTTTTAAAACAGTACGTAAACGCGGAGGTTAAATTAATATAACAAATGTGAAATATTACTTTTAAGAAATTTCCTTCTAATTGAACATAATAAATGTTAATAAACACTATAAAAATGATAAACTTAAATCACTGCTTAAAAATTTAATGTTTGCAATTTTTGAAAGAACTGCATTGAATAAAATCTTTAAGGATCCCTCTAAGACGTGTAGAAAGCCGGACTTCAATACTCACATTACAAAGAAAGAAAGATAGAAAGAAGCACACACTCTCACTCCTAGATACGACACAGGACTGTACGTGCAGTCAGCCGGCAAACTACTTTAAACAAGTCTGGTATGGACATTATCAGTAGACGCTGCTCGCTCGTATGACTCACGCATGAGCAGACGGATCACCAGAAGCAGTTGACGAAGCTCATGGACACCCGTAAAATTACTGCGTTGCTGTCCTTTTGTAATTTGGGGCTTAGGGATTTGATTTGAAGATTTTTGATTGGGGTTAGGGGGAGGAAATTGTGCCTTTTCCTCCAGACTCACACGGTGAAACACATCACAAGTGTTGTTTCATATAGGATTTCTGTGAGGCACTGGCATCACTCCGGTCGGGCCGGCCCGTGCATGTACCGAAGTACTCTCCCATGTATACCACGAGAGCACCGGAACACCGGATTTTAAACTTTTTTTAAGGTTGCAGAGGTTTAAAAACGCCGATAATAATTTATTTTTACTTTAATCTTTCGATGGATTGTCGCGATGGTTCCACGAAAAAATTATATTGACTTTAAGTTTGTGATATTTCTTCATCACAAAACGAAGAATGTTCTATGGTTTCCCCAATCCGTTCCTAGTGTTTAACTCACTGTAATTAATTTTTTATTCGACGTGGAATCACACATATGACTCTAAAGTTACTTACAGGGTGTCCCTGAAATCCACGTCGAAACGATACCACGTGATCGGCAATATTACAACAGCAGGTATATATATGAAAAACCTACATTTATGTAGGTTGTCAGAATATGAAACACACATACTATGGAGAATATCTAGATAGTGAGCGCAGTATTCGGCGGTAAACATAAAAGCTGTTGATCCATATTTATTACTGGCCATAAGCTCCTCACTATCAAACACTTAATGTCAATAAACGTTACAACAGACAGTGAAGTCTCTGAACCAATTCCGATAATCTAGCGAATTCGTTGGATTTATCTATTTCCATGTCAGTAAGCAGTTTGAACAGTGATAATTGGTAAATTTTGCAAAGTAATACCTACGAGGTTGCGGTTTTTTATCCTGTTTTGTAATAATTCGGGAACATGTGTTTGTTAATTCAATATCTGGCCGTCCACGTGTATGTGATTACATATTGGTATATAAATTTAGGTGTGGGAGAGCGATGCTTCGGCACGAATGAGCCGGCTCAACCGGAGTGATATCACGGCCTCACAGAAAACCGACGTGAAACAATGCTTGTGTTGTGTTTCGTCGTGTGAGTGAAGTTACCGGAGGTCCAATTGCCTCCCATTACCCCAATCCTTGAATCCCCAACAATCCTCAAATTCCTAACCCTAAAAGGCCAGTAACGCACTTATAACGCCTCTGGTGTTCCAGGTGTCTATGGGCGACCGACTGCGATTGCTTATCATCAGGTTATCAGTCCGGTCGTTTACCGGCTTATCCCATAAAAAAAGCTATGGCACTTAACTTGGTTAGCCATAAGGTTTTAGAATTTTAAAGATGTAATTACAACAAAAGAAAATTTTAGGTTTTGTCTGTTAAGATAATTTTTATATTTAAGTATTCATAACCCATAACTAAACTGTGGCGGCCATTTTGCGTGAATCGACGCAACTGTGTCGCCACTTGTTGGGTAGTCCACGCAATATCGGCGCGTGTGGTTAAAATGACAATATCTCAAAAGTTTTGTATTGGAGCTTATGTAAAACTTATATCGTTGGAATCGTTATGAAACAAGCTACCATTTAAATATAGTTTAGTCCAGTTTTAATTTGTAATATATAATTAATCCTACTTTGAAATTAGATTGAGAGTTTATTCTCCCAGTTTTTAGTTTAATACAATAAACAGTTTTTATTTCTTTTACATTAATACATATGAATTCACATTGTACCAAACAAAATTCACCGCAGATCAAAAAAATAAAACAATAATTTGTAATACGAACCTCCTTCCGTAATTAAGGAACACAGGGCAGGCAAACAATTAAAATGATTAATGACATGATTTCTGTTGCCATTATTAATTTAATGAAATCAAATACAATCAGATTTAAGCTTGTCCGCAATTATCTTAATTGGATAATCTTGAAATTTTAAGAACTGCTAGCAATGTCAACATTATCTTAAATCATTAAAGTTAAAGGTATTGATAATAACAAATGCTATAAAGTTGCAAAATGTTTTATTTATCAAAGCGCGTATTTTCCACATTTCAAGAAAGCAGAACACATAATTGAATTAGATACTTTATTGATAACAATACTATAAATATAAGAACCAATAAAACTATATGTATAGATATAGATATGTTTCAGCGGTAACCAGCTATCGAAACATTTATAATTTTGAATGAAGAATAAACTGATTAATAGAGTACAAGAATATATGCATAGAAAAGATTCTGTAGATACAATTTTTCAAGACATTTTATCTAGAAAACTATCCCATATGCCCTTGTGGAGCTTCTCCTACTGCCGTAGCCTTTGCGTCTAAAATCGTTTCATTCTTATCTGTAGGAGTCGCCGTTGCATGAGCTTCACGTTTACCTCTTGGATTGCCTGCAATCAGAGGCCCAATAGTGGTGCTCGATGGAGGAGGTGGCAATCCATAGGTGCAGGTCTGAAATTTTTGAGAATAAATAAACAGTCAAAATCAAAGCGTTTATGTCAATGAAACACATTTCTAGAAGACAAAAATGCAGTAAAATTGAAATAACAAAATATGTATTCGTCCTCTAGCCCCAGTATTTATTTGTGGCATTGTAAACAACGTAGTTTTTCTATGAAAGGATTACTCTAAGCACGTGCATTCACTTTGTCATTTTAGTACTATCTTATACGATATCTTATCATACTAATAAGATATTGCAGTACCCAGTTAAATACTTTATTTATTGCAAAATATTGCGTGTTATTCCCCGCTCCGACGAATAGAGGTGACGGGCGTTATTTTGCTTTAGGTAGATAATCCTATACCCTGTGGTTAGATACAATATCAGATTCATCAATAAGCCAAAGTATTGTAATGTTATATCCGTTGGGTTATTTTTATTTCGAAATTCTTCAAGGCCCTGCTATTACAATTAAAGCCTTAATATCTATAATTTAATATCTAAGCTGTGGCGCTTGCAATTACTAGATAAGCGAAGTAGATATTATTATTAATAAGTTTTTTTATTAATTGATATACTGGTTGTTATGTAGATATTATGATGAATCTATATTGATCTTTCGTATCAATAGAGATGCAGCAGGTTGCAATTAAAGATTCGTTTCTGTAATACGAATGTAGTGGCACTACTAGCAACTAATTACACTGCCATGTATATCAGAAATGGTTGAATAATTGATAGGACTGTAACTGTATTGCTGAGTTATATAATATGTGGTGCAGCCACATATTGCAATAAAATATCATTTGTTTAGAAGCACCCTAATGTTATTATGTTTTCGGCTTACTCACGTAATAATTACCCGCGACGCGGCGACAGTCGCGCTGCTATTGAACTGACTGAAGTCGCAGCGTCGCGGGTCGCGAAATGCTGCTCATGAATATGAGCCTCTAGCATGGCTTGAAACTAGTCGAGTTCCTCGTCAAATTGTTACGTGAGTAAGCCGAAAACATAACAATTTATTTAGTATGTCTCACGAAAGTTACAATACACCCTAATGTTGGCAAGAAATGTTTGGACGCGAGACTTCACGGTGGAGCGACCGGATAGTTTCGCGCGGACTGTCAATACGCTGGTGACTGTGAATATTAAATTGACACACCGTTGTCATGTAAATGTTTGGAATATATTCAAGCTTGACAAGACTTCTAAAACGACATGAACATCAACTGTCAAAAATTTTAAAGGAGTCTTGGGAATTTATAATAAACTTAAAAACATTAGTAGCTACAATATGGTTCATGTTCCTGTATTACTTGTTTAGTATATTTGAAATGCAAAGAAGTATTAGTTTAGAAAAAGTAAGTAGAAATATCAGATAAACACTTACACCGATGATCAGTAAAATTAATGTGAAACAGACGAACTTCTGTCCTACCATCTTGGTTGTTTTTTCTGAATAATTTTGAATCAAGTGTTCTACGTTTGCTTCGCTGCAGATAAATGATACAGAGGTGGTGGCAAATGCAAGAAATACTGCTCTTAGACATAATTCACCCGAGTAAGTACCTATTGTTCTTGGAATAATTTGTCTACGTTGAATTAGTGGCTGTAACATATTTAACCGTCATTAATGTGAAGTATATAATTCAATAGCGATTTTCCTTATCATTTACCGCACCTTGCAATGATAAGACACCTTGGGTTTTGTATACAACTGATGTAGCCAGTCATAATAAGGAAAATTAAATAACAACTAATGTTAATCATGAGTGCTTTCCTGCTTGAATTACTACCTATATTACATACTATAAACGGGAATTTTCTGAAATTGTCAATACCCCTAAGTACTGTACTTTACTATTATGAAGATTATCAAAATATGTATAAAAACTATCACTTGAATTTTATGAATTCTTGCCTTATATCCATCCATAATGTTCTCCGTTTATTATTACATGTAAAATTAAACCAAGGTTTTTAGTAGTATCGATTTATTTAAGTTCTTGTAATCGTCTTAATTCATCTCCAGCGTTGTTATACCCCAGAGAAGAAGGTTCAAGCCATCAGGGAGCATTTTTGAACAATATTGTATAACTATTAAGCCAAAACTATACAGAAGCAGCTCCTTGTCCGAACTCACCCCGCAATCAAGTGATTTCAGTGAGTGACCCATTCGTTAGTATTGATTTCTTTTGAGTTTTCATTATTGAAAAAGACTATAAAAAGCTACTAGTTTTCCATTACCTACCATTATATTTCATATAACATTTAAATAGCTTTATTAAATCTTGCCTCAGTTATACCATTCAGTAAAACGACTTACTATTAACAACTTATATGAAGTTTTTATATAAAATTTCCAGCTCTTGACTATTTCAAGAGTAGGGTTAAAGCTGGAAACAGACGCAGAGAATCATATTTCAACAGCTGTGGCGATAATAACGTAAACATTTGTGCTCACCATACCGACACATTAATGTCGTGGAATTTCAAAGGAAAGTAAGTAACTCAAAGCCTTCGAACATATCAGTTTTTAATTAGTCATCATCATCAATAACCATTCAGTGCCCACTGCTGAGCAACGCCTCTTCTCACACGGAGAAGGTTTGAGCATTAATCACCACGCTTGCTCAATGCGGGTTGGTGATTTCAAACTTACAAATTAGAAATTATAAGTCTAGATTTCCTCACGATGTTTCCTTCACCATTTGCCACCACATTTTTAAGTAATAATTATTGATAATATTAATATTCGTATTGTAGCAAAGTTATACATATATATAACAAAGTTATAGCAAAAATACGGTAGGCCCATTATACTGTCTACAGAACTTAAAACAGAATAGTTGTCATATGGCCTTTGGTTTGTTGAAAACTCAGCATTCTAACATACCCTATTTTATTGAGCCGCGGCGGAGTTAACGGGTTGCCGGGGGTCCGACTCGAAGTGCAGGAGTAAGAACGGGGTGGTTTTTAGTCAGTAAGAATCAAACACTCCATTTCGCCTCACCCGGGCGGGAAATTCTTCTCATCTTCTCATCCATTCTTCTCATCAAACGCACCCGATTTCCCCCCCTCAAAATAACCAATTTTATTAGGAACTTAAACAATTTAACTCGTACCATATTTATTATTATCATTAATCATATTTTTCTATACCATTTAAAATATGTTATTAATTTAATTTCTTCAATACTTCACGCACATTACCAGAAAGCCGAAGAAAAAACAAGAAATGTCACCTGAGTCCTATGCGTCCAAGTTTGCCGTCGATTATATAAACAGTTACCAAACAGAGGACGCTGACCCCAATGCTTCGTCATGTGCAGATAATTCCAGGTGCGAAATATTTGCGAAAAGATCTAAATATTTTATGTTTACAACTACAGTATTTAATAGAAATTACTTTTAAGTGTGGAAAAGCCATGCTTCGACACGAAAACGGCCGGATCGACCGGAGTGATACCACGGCCTCACAGAAAACCGACGTAAAGCAATGCTTGCGTTGTGTTTCGTCGTGTGAGTGAGGTTACCGGAGGCCCATTTACTGGGGGGTAATTGGGGTCCTCTTCCCCAGTCCCTGAATTCCCAACGATTCTCAAACTCCTAATCCCCAAAAGACCGGTAACGCACTTGTAACGCCTCTGGTGTTCCAGGTGTCCATGAGCAACGCCGATTGCTTACCATCAGGTGTTCCTTTTGTTCGTTTACCGGCTAATGCCGTAAAAAAACTTGTAAAAAAAAATAATGTCAAGTTTGTGGATTTCAGTGTTGATAGCACAGAACATTTGGGCGTCCAGAAAGGAGCTGCCTTTCCATTTAAGTCGACTCCAAGCGGCAACTTGAAAGTTCAATCGAATCAAGTAAAATAACAACTTACTACTTTTGATAGAATATCTATAAAGTTGGGATGTTGATTGTATTTTGTGTTTACAGGTTGTATTCCAATCGTCCACGGTAGGCGTCTTGTTGGCTGATCCTACGCAAGCTAAAGTAAAAGTCAAAATCGAAGGGAAAGCAGGAGGAGAACCTGATGATGAAATCTCACAAAACTTTGTTAGTATTGCCTTTTTTGAACTGTAAACAGAAATATAAACGGTCGTAGAATAATAACTTTTTGCTATATAGGACCAAGAAGACGATTTGGAACCACAACTCCAATTTGGACCAAGAGAGACGCTCAATGCAAATATGCAAACGAAAACCGTAATGCTGACTGATCGGTCAGGAAAAATAAAACCACCACCAGAAGTTAGAGAAAAAGAAGATAAAGGAAAGGACCTCGGTAGTCTCGGATACACCATGGGAGAGCCCATAGACTGGATGCGAGTACAGCTCCCGAAGAAACAAGATCTGTTTCAAGAGTTTTATCGCAGAATCAATAACTACATGTAATTATTTTTTTAAGTACCATAACATAAAATCACGTCTTTTATCCCCGAAGGTCGGTAGGCAGAGGTGCACATTATGCCATTGTAAAATGTAACACCCACTTTTCACTATTTATGTTATGATTCCCATGTTATAGGGGGTGAGCCTATTGCCATATACCAGGCACAATTCCAGAGTCCGTGCTACTACTGAGAATTAACAAAAAACAGTAGTGATTTGCTCAACCCGGGAATCGAACCCGAGACCTCTTGCCCGGTAGCCTCACTTGCGACCAAACGGCCAACGATGCAGTAAAAAATTCTGATTTTAATAATGTCAAATTATCCAAAAAATGTACAAGAAATTCAATCAATCAGAGTCATATTATGTTATCATACGTAAAACATGTTAACTACGCAATCGACAACTTAAAGTACTAAGTGCACACAAAATTCGAGTAAATATTTTATCAAATATATCTTCGTGATATGCCAAAATATATCAAAATGTTTATTTATTTAATGGATGGTTACTGTGTATCTAGCTCGTGTCAAATCCTATCAGTAATAATGTTATTCCAGAAACACGGACACCGTCATACATATAGGCGATGAGGAGTTCCATTGCCACTACATCGTGCTGCAAGTCTACTCCTCATTCTTCGACATGAATCCGCATAGAGAAATCGAACTACCTGTTGTAAGGAAAAACTACTTTACTTAAACTTTTCACACATTAATCCTAGTATTTGCCCATTTTTCTTATAGATCTTAAACTGTCAAACACCAAGCGGTCACCGGTGACCGCAACCTATTGTTCTTTAATTGTGTCTATAATGACGGTACTCAACGAGTTAAACTAATAATATTGTCACGGATAACCTAACGGGTTACCGGGGCTCCGGCTCGACTTACAGGAGAAGGAACGGGGTGGTTGTTAGTCAGTAAGAGTCTGACACTCCCTCCCACCTCACCCAGGCGGGAGCAGTCATTCGATGGTTTTCCCCCCTTAAAAAAAACTAATAATATTATGGACTCAAAAATAAAAACGCGACGCAAATAGCAATACTGTAGTAGTAGCAGTAGTAGATAGTAGTAGCTATTTTTTGATAAAGGCGTCCTTTCAGGCAAATGTTACACCCGAAGCATTTCAAACAATTTACGAATGGATGATTTTTAACGGTGTTGAAAGTAATAAAATGTTGAAGAGAGACAACATCCTAGATCTGTTTTATGCTGCGCAGTATCTTGCTATCAAAGGTAATTCATTTTACTACTCTTCAGAGGCCTTCGTACGAGTTTAATTTACGTTTAAAGTATTCGAAACGAGTAAGCGTTCGCCGCTCTGATTGGCCGGCTCCAATGAACCAACCAATCAGAGCACCGACGCGTACTCATTACAAACTCGTACTCTCGCCTTAGTAGATGACTTTGTAAAATAGACTGTTAATCTTAAAATGTTCCTTTTCAGATCTAGAAGACCAATGTTGGTCTTTCATCGTGAATGAAAATCTGTTTTCTGAAGACACAGCATTTGCATTATTCAGAGAAGCTAGGAAAAAGGGCATGACGCCAGTTATGGACTTAATGGTAAATACAATACATCCTGAACGTATTAAACTAATAATTTTAAGATTTGTGTTTATAGGAGCCTTTCAGCAATGTACTCCGGTCTCTCTGGCATTCTTTTTAAAGTCCAGAATCCTATGATAAAAATATATCTAAATCCGAAATGATTTCAACAGTTTCTAAAGTAAGACTGTTTATAGGTACCTCGTGTGATGAGATTCTTCTTACCGTTAGTCGCATCAAAAGATTTTATACTTTTGGAACCAGAGGAGCTCATGATCTTTCTGAAATCAAATTATATTTCTGTCACAAGGTAAATATGCTTCTCTTATTTTATTTTTAATCTAGCTGACACGGCAAATTTCATTCCGCCAAAAAAAAACCTTTTAAACATTCCCTGGATTTCCACGAACATTTCAAGAGCATAGCCAAGTCGGTTCAGCCGTTCTCAAGTTTTAGCGAGACTAACGAACAAAAAATTATTTTTATTTATATAGATTGTTGCCGGTTTAGCAAAAATAAATCCTATGTTTTGATGTTATACATATATCAGCAATAACAACGTATCAACAATAATTTTGGCTACAATTATACAGGTACATGATTTTAGCTGACTGCCTCGTGGACCGAGTGATCGTAACTGCGTCTCGGGTTCGATTCCCGGGTCGGGCAAAGTATTACTGGGTTTTAAATATTCTCAGTAGTAGCACGGAGTCTGGAATTGTGCCCGGTATATGGCAATATGCTCACCCCCTATTACATGGGACTCATAACATAAATAGTGAAAAGTGGGTGTTACATTGTACAGTGGTATAATGTGCACCTCTGCCTACCCCTTAGGTGATAAAAAGTGTGATGTTATGTTATGTTATGTTATGATTTTAACCTCTGTAGTCGAACTAAGCATTGCCTGTATTTCGACTATCACTGTCCAACCCTCAAACGTACAGATAATTTCAGACTTTCTAATTTAAGTGATATAAAAAAAAAATTTTTAAAGAAAAAAAAAATAAAATAAAAACGTTATAATTTTTTTTGATCTACATGTACATGATGTGACAAATACATTGTTGAAATTAAAACTATAGGTAATCATCGACATTCGTGTTTAGCAAACATTAGCTTAGAATATAAATTAATAAGATAGATGTTCACATCGCGCAGATCGTGATCAGTCTATGTTAATTGCTTGCTTATGTACGTCACATAAACTTAGTGTTGTATATTTATTGCATATATAGCTGTAATATATAGTTATTCTTTAGTAAATTTCCTATTTCCACTCACCCATCGTCACGCCTTTTAGCGTGTAGGTGATATAAAACCGTTCCCATATCTGATATGCAATCTTTGTTTATATTTTGCAGTCATAACTATAAATAGTACCGGACTTTGAATCAATCATGGCTGACTCCATACTTAGTTTGGTCCATGCAATTGGTTTATAAAATACAATAATATGGTACTTCTTAAATAGACTGCCTCGTTGCCCGAGTGGTAGCAAGTGCAGCTGCCGGGCAAGGGGTCTCGGGTTCGATTCCCGGGTCGTGCAAATTATTAATGGTTTTTTTAAAATTCTCAGTAGTAACACGGAATCTGGAATTGTGCCCGGTATATGGCAATATGCTCACCCCCTATTACATGGGACTCGTAACATAAATAGTGAAAAGTGGGTGCTACATTGATCAGTGGCGCAATATGCACCTCTGCCTACCCCTTCGGGGATAAAAGGCTTCCGCCCTGAGGACACGGTGGAACACACCGTAGCGGAATGCCCTGCGTGGGCTGAGCACCGCCGTGCCCTCAGGGAAGTGATCGGCGATGGCGACCTCTCGCGTCCGGGTCTAGTGCAGGCCATGATGCGGAGCGAGGGGGACTGGGATGCCGTCTCCTCCTTTTGCGAAGCAGTCATGCTAGCTAAGGAGGAGGCGGGACGCGTGAGGCAGCGAAGCGCTGCCTCCTCGCAACCCAGCCATCGCGAAGGACACACCGGGCGTCGGGGATCGCGGGACGATCTCCGGCCACCGTAAGCGCGGGCCTGCGGACGGCGAGCATGGGTGGCTCCCCGTCCGACCAGAAACAGACCCGAGCGTACGGCGCGTCGCGTTTCGCGCGCGCCTCAAAGAGCCATCAGACCACCACAGATGGGGCCCAATAGGGCCGATGCCGATTCGGAGTCGCGGAGAACCTAACGGGTAACCGGGGCTCCGGCTCGACGTGCAGGAGAAGGAACGGGGTGGTTTTTAGTCAGTAAGAGTCTGACACTCCCTTCCGCCTCACCCAGGCGGGAGCAGTCATTCGATGATTTTCTCTCCTTAAAAAAAAAAAAAAAAAACCCCTTCGGGGATAAAAGGCTTGATGTTATGTTATTTTATGTTCTTAAATTGATAAGCAAAACATTTAAGTCTATGTATGAATGAAAATAGATATTTGTCCGATTCATTTTGTGACTCAAGTTTTTAATAGAACCAACTCGATAACATTCATTCATTGCACACCATTCTTCACTGCCTTGCTATGCTGTCAAAGTGGAAGTGTGGAACTATCGTAACTTTGCCGACCACCCGGCGTCGATTGCACGTCGACTTCGTGGACATTCTGTATAACTACTGTTTGCTGACAAAATGTTTCCTTATGATCAGAGCCTGTAAACATGTCAACATGTACAAGGCTTTAAAAATAAAATCCTTACTTTATATTATAAATCGGAAAGTGAGTTTGTTTGTTTGTTTGTTTCGCTTTCACGCTGTGACAACTAAACCGATTGCTTTGAATTTTTGCAGACGTAAAGTTAGAAGTCTGGTTTAAATAGTAGGTTTACTTACTTTTTATCCCGGAAAAGTTAATATTCTCGAGGGAAAACGAAATTATTGGTATAGATGGCACTGTTTGTATTGGTATATGTCACATAGGCTACTTTTTATCCTTTTGTGACGCGAGCGGAGCCGCGGGTAAAAGCTAGTTAAAAATAAACTTGTAGTAATAATATAGGCTAACTAGCACTTAAATACTGCTCATGTAATCATTGTTTGTGTTATCACGTATTATGATCTTTCAACTACCGGTTTCGCATTGAGGACATTATTTTTTAATGTAGAGGTAGATAGGAATGTTGATCCGCGTTTTATGTCCTTACGAAATTAAGAATCGGAAGCTTTCACTTTTGCAGCAGTGAAAGTGTTATTGTATTTAGTTATACAACGTATGTAACATTGAACAATATTATTATTATAATATCGAGCGAAATAATGTGTAGATGGTAGACTGCCACCGTTACTAAATAAAAAGGTTCACGTTGACTTTTACCATGACAGAGTAGAATGCAAGTTCTCTAATTTCCAGTTTTGTTAATACATCAGCTATACCTACCTTCCTGTTTCACCACCTTTTTGGTAGGTACCTACCTGATAGACTTTGTGGCAGATGACAATAGTTCATACAAATTACGTTCTATCTTCCAATTTATCTAATACATACACAAGGCTATCCAGACATTACGATACAGGCCCTAAAAGTGATTAAAATCATTGACTATCCTTGATCATTTTACTTAATAAATAATATGTGTTTTAGCGAGATTGAGGTCTTGATGGCTGGCGTGCGGTGGCTGTACGGTGACTGGTCAGCTCGCAGGCAGTATGCAGTGGACGTGATGCGCTGTGTCAGGTTTGGGCTCATCTCCCCCTGGCAGCTGGTCGACATCAAGAGGAACCCTGACAATGCTGAGATACTGGAAATTGTTAACGAGCCTGAAGTACAGCAGATGGTCGATGATGGACTTGCGTTAGTATTCCTTATGATCCTATGATAGGCACAGTTTGAATGATGCTTACAAAACAGCTTGATGATTTAAGTCTGCAGAATTTATATCAATGTCATTGTAAAACCTACCTTATTCTGCGGCTGTTAATGATGCATCTTGCTCAACAGTCAACCAATTGATTATGCAGACCAAAAACGAAATCGATTTCTAGTATACAGGCTGTAGTTGTTGCTTATGCATCTTTTTCACATGAGGAAAATATAATAATTTTATTTAAACAGCATTGATAAGGTGCTACAAATTAAACACTTAGTATTTTATATTTATAAGTTATAATGGTTTCCCTATAAATAACAAAAATAATTTTAGTCGTTAAGTTCTTTGAAGTGATACCATTATTACAGGTAATTTATAGAGTTCTCTGTGATTTACCCGTGTGTTTTCCTAGTCTTCTTGTTATTTTATTACTAATACTCTACTAAACTCAGACAAAACAAATACTACCACAATAACATAAACTTTGATATCTACAAACAATATTATAGGTATAGGAACCTACCTACCTATTTATGTTTTAAAATTAATTCAACACAACATCAACAACCCTGATAGGCCATTGCTGGACTAGCCTGGGCCTACTCTACATAACGGATTGACATCCTAATTGGCAGGCAGGCAGGTTGGAGATCGCACCATAATAGGTTTAAGGCTATTAAAGAACCCTCGCTTCTGCCGGTATTATCAAAGGAGTATCTCTTGTTCCGGCTCGATAAGCAGGAGTAAGAACGGGGTGGATTTTAGTCAATAAAAGTCAACACTCCCTCTGGCCTCACCCGACCGGGATAAGCCATTGGATAATTTTCTACCTCAAAAATAAACCACTCGAACCGTAGACACATAACATCACGCTTTTTATCCCCGAAGGGGTATGCAGAGGTGCACATTATGCCACTGAACAATGTAACACCCACTTTTCACTATTTATGTTATGAGTCCCATGTTAGGGAGTGAGCCTATTGACACAATTCCAAACTCCGTGCTACTACTGAGATTTTTTTTAAAGCCCAGTAATTCTTTGGCCGACCCGGGAATCGAACCCGAGACCCCTTGCCCGGCAGTCGCACTTGCGACCACCCGGCCAACGAGGCAGTCGAACCGTAGAGGTGCTGACAAATGTATTTTGAACGCGGCAGCTCGTTACGTTGCCGGTCGCCGTTCAGAAATAGGTCCAAAGTATTATGTTACGTAGGTATTATTGTCTTGTTTACATAAATACATAAAAAATATTATTAACAAAGTGACCAAGGCATGCTTTATTAGGTATAAAGCTAGTTAGCTGTTCTCATAGTCAAAACATTATTCATTTAGGTGTCCACGCGAAATCATTACTAAGGCGGCCAACCGTCCCGTATTCTGCGGGACCGTCCCGTAATACTAGATGTAATCCCGCTTCGAAATAATTAATAAAATAGTCCCGTAAAACGTTAGATGCGTCCCGCAAGTCCCGCAAGTCCCGCACGACACCAACACACGCGTACGAACAACAGCGCGAATCAATGAAAAATAATTGTTTGACGCAGTACGTTACGTGTGTAATTACGTGAACAATGATGCCCTAAAGGTCTAGCAGGAGAAAAAGTTCAGCACAAAACGTAGGAGGAATATCATCCAATGACTTCTCCCGCCTTGGGTTAGGCGAGAGACAGTAACAGACTCTAACTGAATAAAAACCACCCCGTTCCTACTGCTGAGCTTTGATCCGGAGCCCCGGCAACCCGTTTGGCCTTCCGCGGCTCCGTATCGAGCAACAGCCTTACTGGGCCCCCATCTGTGGTGGTCTGATGGCTTTTTGAGGCGCGCGCGGAACGCGACCGGAGATCGTCGCGCGATTTTCTACGCCCGGAGCATATCCCGCGACGTTTGGGGCGTGAGGAGATTCGTTCCCTCATGTGCGCCTACCGAAAGAGTATTTTTTTAATGAGTGCTCTATGGACGTCGAAAAAATCGTCATTAAAAGTGAAAACACTACGAACTCTGCTTATACTTAAATTTAATATGGAAAGTTGCGAAGATTTTCATGACAATGACCTACTCAATAAGAATCCTGAACTTGTTAAAAAGTGTCACTCTAGAGATAAATATGATTTAGAAAATAGTTAATAACTTTTGTACCTAAGTTTTATATTTTTATATATCTGTAGGAGTATCGACTAAACTTTATCCACAAAAAGTCCCGCTTTGGACTTTCAGAAAGTTGGTCGCCTTAATCATTACGATTACGATTACCATTGCAAGTACAGGCAATAAAGTCAAATGTTTATGTATGTGCTATGTTCTTTGAAACAATACCTACAATATAATACTTCATTCTACTGCATGATTTAAGTGGCCGTCGTAAAACACTGAAAATACAACGCATTGAAACGAAAATAAATTCCTGATGTGAATACCTCCCGCAGACAGGTCCACTTTGTAAATGTAAATCTTTAAAATCTTAGGTATTTGAATAAAATTACCTGGAACTGAATACAATAATAATACTAAATATTTTGGTCAGACATTGTCATTGTCAACCGCAAACCGTAGACGCTGAAAATTAACGTCAGGATGAAATTATTCGTAAATAAAGACGAATATATTCAATCCATTCAAAGTATTACGCGAGTCACAGTGTATTTTCTATTGTGTCTCGTAGCCGGCAGATGAGAGGTTAATAAAAAGTTAATTTTGTATAAAATAATTTGAAATTAAATTATTTTTATTAACAGCGGCAAATATGAGTATTTTACATCATTTTCCAAACCTTTAACTGTAACTCATACACACATACCATACTTACACATCCGACAGATATTATTCTACGATTCATTGTTGATTTATTTAATTATCAAAGTTTCTGCAAAGGAAAATCTATGGGCGTCAATGTTTTATAAGATTTACTAGCGGACCCGACAGACGTTGTCCTGCATAACCACTTGAATGTATAAAAAAAATTCATTCAAATTAGTTCAGCCGTTTAGGATAAATAACCTAAACATCAACTGCAGCTCCATCTGCCGGGCTGATTTGTGAATCTAAACCATTCCCAGATCCCCTTACACACACAAAAAATTTCATCAAAATCGGTCCAGTCGTTTGAGAGAAGTTCAGTGACATACACACTCACAGAAGAATTATATATATAAAGATTTTCCAATATTATAACAAGTAAATATTACAGGTAACGACTACAAATTAGGTATTCCAAATCCTGGTCAGTTAGGAATCTTTAATTTCTTTTAACTAAAATAAAATGATTTCATTTTCATTTTATTTTATAGTTAAATAGATTACATTTACATTTATCTCGACGGTAGTTGTGCCATTGTGAGTCGGCACAATTTCTTTGAATCAAGGGTCTTATGATCCACATATCCGTAATATGTAACGGGTTTTTTTTATCCACAGATACGTTATAATAAAATATTGGTACGGCAATAATTCTAAGAACTATTATCATTGGATCGATGTCCTCGGATTGACGGAACCGGCCGAGCGAAACTGGATCGGCGAGGAAAAGGTACTTAGTAAGTCGTAGGAATAACAGGGACATAAATTATAGTACTAAATTAATTGAAACTTAGTGTGTATGAATAAGAGACCTGCTGTGACTTGAAATTGGGTACTTTCTTTAATCAAAATTAAATTATTTCGGCTGTTCAATACAATAAAACGTTAAAACATTAATCACAGTTTCATTAATTGATCCAACTTGATTTTATTTATTTTCAAGCAATTTTTTTAGAAATATGTATGCTGTTTGACGCTAAAAAAACGTGACGTAACAATACACAATCTCGTACAAAATTCATAGAAATGTCGTTTTTGACTAGTTGCCAAATACCCAATTAAGTGAGACTCACGAGTAAGCCATTAATTTTAATTGATTTAGTACACATGTCTCTAAAATTATAGTAGGTACTGCTACTGTATACACATCAAAATTTTGAACTTTATTGCAACGGCAAGGTATGAAAATGTTTACAAAATATGGCCAGATTAAAATTTGCCTAGAAAGTTTTTTGGGAGTCTAAAATAGCGGAAACGATTTTGTAAAACTCCCGGAAAATATATGCCAGGTAATCCACGTTTTTCTGACCAACTGACTCCACTAATAAATTTCCCATTAAAAGCTCCGAAAATAACCTCTTTTCTAGTAGTTGGGTTTACTCTTTTCGAAGTAAACCCAACTGCTAATACTGAATTCCACCGTGACATTAACGTTGCAGAACCATGTGACTTACAAGGACTTTCTGCAGTATTTAGAACAGTTTATGGTACCCAAAGATCAGATGTACCAACAGATGGCCATGATGCAACCACTGAGGAGGAACGACGATAATATACCTGGTATTACTTATTATAAAAAAGTTTTCTTTAATATAGGTACTCTCGCAATCAATGCCATAAAAAGCGAAAGTATTGAGCAAATTAATTTGTAAATAAACCTACTTAAATATACGCGCCGTGCGGCACTGTTTAAAATTGTAATGTAACAAAAACTGGAATTTCGCTTTTTGGTAGTCGTTCCATCTTCGAAACATTTCTTATGAATATTGGTATTGATGGATGCAGCACTAAATGTACTAAAATAAGCTTCACTAAAAACTTTGCCACGTGTTATTTCAAAATTCGTAACAAGCTGGTATTCGCAAATATCCGATTATATTTCGCAACCGCATAAATGTGAAGCTCGTTTAGTGAATGACTGACACAAATAACACTTTAGTGCAAAACAGAATGTGTAGAAATATTCCAAGAATATACAATGTTAAGACGCACTAGACTATTCGTGGCTTAGAAGGAAGAAAACGGAGATTATTAGAAACAGAAATCATAGTATTTTTACTCATTTTTCTCGTCAAACCGCCTATTGAAGTTATAGCTGCAATTTTGCTTATTATTATTTATTTATACATCTTTATTTATACTTTATCAGGCACCATGCGAGGCATGGATACCGATAAAATGGAAATGCGAAGACCTAAAATGGATTTTCCACTACCAGCCACACTCAAAGGACTTGCTGGTGATAAGGACAAATCATTTCCGACTATGAGTGAGTTTTTCGAAAACCGGAGAAAGGTTAGAAAACAGGTTATTACCCTTACTTTTTTTTTTATTATTTAGATGGCTTTTACTACACTTTTGTCCGTCGACCGAGAATTGGTGCAGTGTCTAGATGAAATTAACTGCTGCATATGTAGACGAGGTTCATAGTTCGTTCTATAATGGATAGTCATAGACTGTTAATGCTAATGTTGAAATGCATCCAAAGTCCTTATTTAGAGCAAAAAAATAAAGATTTAAAATTAAAAATTCTGATTCAACCAACGGTACCGGCGCTATATTTTAATATTTCGTTTGAAATGTGCTCCATATATTTCAACCGAATTTTATTTTCCTAGTTTTAACCAGGCCCCCTTCATTTGACATTTTCGACGATTGATAAATGTTTTTAGCAGAATCAAGAAGGTCAACAGTCGATGTCTCCATCGAATAGATCACCTTCAATGGAGGTGGAAATGGCTATGCATATGCCTATCTTGGCTGAATCTAGAATGAGAGGTCCCGAGCTGGCTTGCAAACACCAAAAGCAATTTGAGGTATATTCTAAAAGTATAATAATAAAGTATAAATTATAGTATGCACATATATTTCAGCGGTGTCTGTTCTTAGATATATATGTATTTTAGAAAGAAATAAAGGTTGATTGTAAGTTCTAAAATGTTTTAGCGTGATATTTTTGTTTAAAACTCTTCACTTTTATTGTATTACCAAACACAACCGGGGTGGTCACAACCGGTATGCACGTGGCTGACAGCATTAGTCCCTATCTTTTTTAGTACATAAAACAGAGCGGGGTTAATTTTATTTATATTTCTTTTATAATGCAATTATAGGAACAAAGAAAACAGAAAGAGCTGCATAAGCAACAAGAATTGGCGCAGCAGCAGCAACGACGCAAACAAATTCAACAGATACACATGTGCTCTGTCGACGCAGACGCTGTAATCAATTTTCTTTTAATCTTATATTTTTATTTAGATTTATTTTTTACTACATTTTGTACAATATTTAAATTACAATAAAATCTGTTAATTTCTAAGTGGTTTATTGGGAGATACGTATATCAAACTGCTAGACCAAGCCAAACCCCGCATTCTTATTTTTTTTTTTTTTTTTTTGAAAAACGTTGCCCCACACTAGGATTTTCTCCTGTGTCGTGGGTGCGTTTACAAACATACAAGTTCACATACACAATAACACCCAGACCCGAAACAACAATTTGTGGATCACACAAAGTGTTGTTCCGTGCGGGAATCGAACCCGTGACACGTTGCACGGCAGCCGGTTGCCCAGCCACCGCACCAATCGTGCAGTCAAAATTATTACATTAAGCATTAATATATCACCAATCATACATTGCGTAAAGTATTGAGCAGTACTTTTGATTAGGCGTAGCAATTAGTACAGAACATTAACAAGCAAATGTTTCTAAACAGGTTTCTAACAAGCAGGAACAAATTTACGAACCTCCAGAGAAGGACTCCGCTGAAGACTTGAACACCACCAACAGTGAAACCAGTAGTGGAACTGCAGAGACGAGCATCGCTGATAAAGTAAGAGAAATTGGTGTATCCATTATATTAAAATATATTGAGGCATTTGCAACAGAACAGAACAGAACTACTTACCAGATATAGGTCCCTGTGCCAAATAAGTGTGAAAAAGATTGTCCGATTTTTTTTTAACCTTGCCCCACGCTACGATTTTCTCCTGTGTCGTGAGTACCTTTACAAACCTACAAATTCACATACACATGACACCCATACCCGAAACAACGATTTGTGGTCGACACAAAGATATGTTCCGTACGGGAACAAACCCGCTACACGTTGTGCGGCAGCCGGTTGCCCACCCGCTAATCGTGCAGTCATTTTAAAAGCAGAACAGAGAACATAATGTGCTGTACCATAATTTTTGTTTTCTTCGTGGTAATCATTACTCAAAGGTAAGTTTTTATTGTTTCCACAGAACCAGTATGCAATGCGTAGAACAGAAAAGAGACATAGTGTTGCAGCTTCATATCTTGCCGCTGCAACTGCTGCTTTGGCAGGATCGCGAAGGTCAGTCACCAACACTATTTTATCCGAAGTAATTTACTTCATAGGAATACGTAACTCCACTGTGGTTGTAAGTGCATAGCAGATGCTGGAACAAGGAGAATTAGTATACTAAGCTTGCTGTGCCATTTCATCTGCATCGACTTATTCAAGAAGAATCGGACATTTTACCGATGTCTCTGTCAATCAAACTTTATCAAGATCCGTTTTGTAGTTTTGCGTAAAATAGTAACAAACAACTATTCATCTTTACAAACTTTCTTATTTGTAATTTTAGTAGGATTATGGTTATTTTAATCCGGCAGTCCGACATCTGGGAGTCGACCATCACCGCCAGCGAATGCGTCGCGATCCGAAGCAACCCCACGGCCCAATGCACCCATGTCACAGAACAACATCGGAAGTCCGCAGATATCACTCTTCAATCAGTCAAAAGAATCACTGGCTAAGACTAACATGTCCGTATCTTTCTTCTAGAATATTATACGTAGCATTTGTATAATCAGATCCATAGTCTTAATTAAAGTAGTAACTCGATATTATTTAAAAGACACAGAAACTTCTACATTTGTAAGATCATCAACTTTATAGTTAAAAGATGCATCAATGTGCACTTGCACAAATGTTATTTTTACTTTATCTGCAGGAAAAATATATTGCTATACTGATTTTATCAGGAACAAATTGTCCACGTCCATATTGGGACCTTCGAACAAGAACTACATCGCTGAGGGCTCCTTGTTCAACTGGGACAGGGAGACAGTTCTCGTTTTTGGTGGAATTGATCACCTCACTACGTATGGATTTGGAGGAAACATTGGAAAGTATATCTACAGGTGAATAAAGATACTTATTACTTGAAATTAATTTGATATAATATTTTGTATAGTAACAAAATAACATAACTTTACTTTTATCCCCGAAGGGGTAGGAAGAGGTGCACAATATGGCACTTAATGCCACTATACAATGTAACACCCCCTTTTCACTAGTTTATGTTATGAGTCCCATGTAATAGGGGGTGAGCCTATTGCCATATATCGGGCACATTTCCAGACTCCGTGCTACTACTGAGATTTTTTGAAAAAAACCTGCTAATTCTTTGCCCAGCCTGGGAATCGCCAGTCACACTTGCGACCACTCGGCCAACTAGGCAGCATAACAAAATGTAATTAATATTACGCTGTTTACAAAATGAACTACTCTCTACTGCTGTATTCCGTCTGTTTGTAATATGTATACTCTTTCAATCAGCTCTTACAAAACCCATAGAAAGAGTATCATATTTTAAGAAATTATCATTTTTCTTCTTCTCCTTCTTTAGCTTTTTTCTACCGTTAGGTCTCCTTCAGTTTTTGCATATTACGTTTTAATTTTTAAGCAAGAATTATTCTATTTATTTGACCTGATTATCCGGTAAAAACAGGTCTGGTAATCTGGTTGGTATTTTTATAATTGAATATAATTTAAGGTTCGATCCAGTGACCAATGTTTGGGACTACGTGGGAGATTTGCCGGAGCCAAGACATCATCACTCGGTGGCCTTTCTGCGAGGTCGAGTCTATCTTGTGGGTAAGTTATCGAGAATTTTATTATGTCATTTCTTCTCATTAAACCACAAAATAATCCCAAATGAGAAATTACATTTCTTGCTTGGTCCAAAACTTCTGAGTACTAATGGACATTTATACAATTATTAAGTGAATATAGTATATCTACCTCTATATAGAAGTAAATAAAAATGAATTTCTGTTCGTTAGTCTCACTAAAACTCGAGAACGCCTGGACCGATTTGGCTAATTTTGATCTTGAAATGTTCGCGGAAGTCCAGGGAAGGTTTAAAAGATGAGACTAAAAAATTGTAGGCGGTACATAGTTTGCCAGGTCAGCTAGTAAGTAATAAATATATTGGGTACAAGGCGGTGCTGATCCCCGTGACGACGACATACGAGGAAAGTCTGCAGTGGTATCAACCGTGTGGAGCTTTGAGCCAGTGTCTCGTTCGTGGTTCAGTGAGAGTGGATTGATGACGCCGAGGAAGAACTTTGGACTCGTGGTACACCGCATGGCCATGTACGCCATTGGAGGACTGGACAAGAAGGGAAGGTGATTATTTATTTATTAATTTAACCCTTAATACCCCCCGATGATACTGAGATGAGGATGGTAGGTGTTACAGCTGTGTATAAAACCTATTTGCTACTATAATGAGTGAGTGCCACTTGTTTATTGTGAGCAAATGTGAGATTGTCACATAGATTAAACAAAGCTAATCAAACATTTTCCTATCCAGAGCACAATTAAAAATAAATGTAGGATTTGGTTCAGTCCTTCATGCCTAATGCAATGAGCTGATTATGATTTAATTCCTTATTTTTTGGAGGATTCATTCTATCTATTCTAATTATTAATTTCAGGGTGCTACGCTCAGTAGAAAAGTTTGATCCTAAGACTGGATCCTGGAGTGAAGTGCGTTCAATGAGCGTGTGTCGAATGGCTCTGGCTTGTGCGAAGTACCGCGAATATATCTGGGTGGCTGGTGGCATGACGGGGGAGAAGAAGAAACCTGTCTGCAAGATTGTGGAGTGCTATAACTCAACTACTAATGAGTGGGTATTAATTTTGTCTTGGAAATAGTAGTACAGATGTTATTTATGACTTTACTAAAAATACTTAAAGTATTAATGAAATTTGGTATAGTGGATACTACTGGACCGATATATTGTTGCAATCAAAACGAAGGTTATCTAATTGACTGCTTGTAGGATGTAAATAATAAATAATTAGTGCCTATCTATAATAACAACTACTGCTGCATGCATTCTCCTAAAACCCTAATTTGGACTGTTTATAGATTAATAGATACACATCGCTTGTTATTGATTCTTATATCTGGCAGGAGTCCAACATGATAAACAATTTTTTTGCATATGTATAATAACATTACTAACTGCAGATGGACAGAAATACACAGTCTGCGATTTCCCAGATGTTTTTCCACGATGTTTGCAATGAACGATAAATTGTACATAGTTGGCGGAGCTGGAAAAGTTTCGGATAAGGTAAATACAATTTTACAAGGCTGTATTTTAGTTATTTTCTCCTACAAACAATATACAACATAGATTTTCTTAAGGACCAGCAAACTTTTAATAAAAACGACTTAAGAATGTCGGTAACTTCGAGTGGATTTTATTTACACTGCAGTTGATACACTTTTACCCTTTCATGTAAGCAATATATGATATAGTACCTACGTTATTTTATCAAAGACATGCTAAGAAGAATAGCTGTACAAAGAAACGCTAACTAGATTCATTTACCAAAGACTTTGTCTTATAGGAACAGACGGTGACCAGTGTCGGCGCCATTGACGTTTGGGACTGGAAGCTGCGCAAGTGGAGGCAGGAGACAGAAATGTCAATGCCCAGACATGGTCACGCGTTGGCCTACCTTGGAACACAGCTCATCATTATTGGTGCGCATTTATTTCTTTAGATATAAAACCTATTTCTTATTGGCTTCATGGCTCATCCCGATTTGGTTTCGGGTGCTATTCTCCGATTTGCCCTAAGAACTTTTTTAGTATCGTAATTTTTATTTAACCTCTAAAAATTTTACATTAATCTATGGCTAAGCAATAGCTCTCACAAGCAATATTCGATCTTATTGACAGTCCAGTAGGTACAATAAAATACCGAAGACCAAACTTCATCTTCATTATAATCATTTCTTCGAGATGGTTTTACAATAATATTGTACGAAGATGTCGTCATTACGTAGTCATTATCGATAATTGCTCGTTACAAACAGCAAAACATCGTGTATCAATTGTGACCAACTGGTCAAAGAGAAATTGGTGATTACAATGATGATCTCGTTTCGAAGTTACTTACTTATGTTAGCATTATAACTTTCGTGAGACATCTTTACTAATATTATAAATCGGAAAGTGAGTTTGTTTGTTTGTTTGTTCCGCTTTCACGCCGTAAATACTTAACCGATTGCTTTGATTTTTTGCAGCACTAAAGTTAGAAATCCGGATTAAATAATAGGGTACTTTTTATCCCGGAAAGATTTGATATTCCCGAGGGAAAAAAAAGTTTGGTATAGATGGCGCTATGTGTATTGGTATATGTCACATAGGCTACTTTTCATCCTTTTGTGACGCGAGCGAAGCCGCGGGTAAAAGCTATATTAAATAAATTATTAAGTGACTTATGTTTGTCAGAGTCCGGGCTAAAATCCATTTGGAACATCAAATTAAAGGTACCTAAAGGTTTTTATTTAAAAGAACGGTTGGCAGGCAGGCTGGACAACCGGTTGCGGGTTCTAGACACTGATGAAGCATATCTTTATGTGATCCACAAATTGTTGTTTCGGGTCTGGGTGTCATGTGCATGTGAAATTGTATGTTTGTAAACGCACCCACGACACAGTTGTATGTTTGTACCCAGGAGAAAATCCTAGTCTGGGGCAACGTTTTAACAAAAACAAAGTCATTAGGATACGTGATACTGTCATGGTTTTTAAAATAAGTTTTTAATAATTGACAAGCCACAAACCAAACATTGTTTTGGATACATGCATCATTTATCTATTACATACATTTGACCGAATTAAATCGATTAAATCCACATCTTCAAAAGATGAACAGCTCTAGTCTTGTATAGCTAAAAAATTAACTACGTTTTCTGAGTGTTTAATTTCTTAGAAACTATTACTATCTATATTTACTAGGTCAGACAAGTTCGCCGGAAATGCTAGAAAAGTGATGAATAAGCTCCAGTATAATAAACTATTTAGAACATATTTTTCCTTGTCTACGAAATATTTATATCATCAAATCTAGTCACGTATGAATAGATTGATTATAAGGCATTCACCGAAATGGTATTTACGACTTTATGTCGAAGGGTGTAATGTTCTATTTTGGATTTTACCCGTAAATAATGTCGACTGAACTGAACCGAACCGAACTTCATTGTTGCTTTTATAGTGGCCTTGCCCTACTAAAAACCTGTACAGGCTCTATAGTCCATAAACTACTTACGTTTTGAAGAAAGCTGCCTCGTTGGCCGAGTGGTCGCAAGTGCGACTGTCGGACAAGGGGTCTCAGGTACGATTACCGAGTCGGGCAAAGTATTACTGGGTTTTTAATTCTCAGTAGTAGCACGGAGTCTGGAACTGTGCCCGGTATATGGCAATAGGCTCACCCTCTATTACATGGGACTCATAACATAAATAGTGAAAAGTGGGCGTTACATTGCATGAATATTACTATATTCATGCAAAATTTGAAGTAAACCCATGCAGCACTTATTGAGTTCATCCCGGACATACATACAGACAAACAGACAAAAATTGTAAACACCATATTTTTGGTTTCGTTATCGACTGTAGATACCTCCCAAAGCGTTCTTTTAAAAAAATATTCGATTTACAGTTTTCACTTTCCTACGATTTTATTATATGTATAGATAGATATGTACCTATAGATACAACAAACATTATCAAATAAGCAAAACAATTAGTAACATATATTAACAGGAACTTGACACATAAGTGATACATAGTCAAGGAAATGTTATCCGACTTTAGTATTTTTAATACTTATTTGCTAACGGATATACGTGTACGATGTTTAAATACCAGGACTTAAAAACCGCAATGACGGGTTTTCTTTAGATTGCGATATGTAAACTGACAAAGGATATGGGGATTTACTTATTGCTTACGTACTTGTGAGATTTGGGGTCGGTGATGGTAAGCAGTGACGTGGGACATTGTACCTTCCGACAAAGTAAAAGCATTTATTTCAATTAAACCATATTTTGGTACTTTTGAAATACGTCAACAAATACAAAATAAATAATAGTCTGTCAGTCAGTCCGTAAGTGAAGCTAGGTGAAACTAGGTACTCATTCCAAAATGTATATTCGTATGGAGAAGAATTAACAAGAAACTACATTCGTTACTCTTTTTTTTTTAAAACAACTACAGGTAGTCTAAAATCGGCTGTTACAGTTAGGATTATATTCTGAGAGACTTGATACTCAAATGGAACCGAAAAAGTATTATAGAAATGATATACAATACTCATTGTTTTAATGTTACCTTGACAGTTTGACAAGCTTAATACCAAACTTTATAGTGCCATAAGGCTATCGTACCTCCACTTCTTATACAAAGCCGGGCAAGGGGTCTCGGCTTCAATCCCCTGGGCGGGCAAAGTAACATTGGGTTTTTCAAAATCTCAGTAGTAGCACGGAGTCTGGAATTGGGCCCGGGATATGACAATAGACTCACCCCCCATTACATGGGACTAACAACATAAGTAGTGAAAAGTGAGTGTTACATTATACAGCTGCATTAAGTGCCGTAATGTGCACCTGTGCTACCCCTTCGAGGATAAAAGGCGTGATGTTATGGTTGTCTTTTATAGGTTATGAACTTTACTGCAAAATAATAAGACTTGATATCAATTATAGTGGTTTTCTACATTGGTGTGGCAGGTGGTGTGACAACAATTTACATGCGAGCGTTAAACAATGTGGAGTCGTTTTGCTGCGAGCGTGGCGCGTGGATACGAGGCGTGGCCACGCTGCCCTCGCCGCTCTCCGGCCACGGCGCCGTCACGCTGCCGCCTGCATCGCTAATGTGACCTTTATGATGTATTTCAGTAAGTCTACTTCTTCTTCTTCCTTACATTTAGATTAAGACTTTGACTGCCAAAGAAAAATGTTGAAGGAAAATCCTCCGCTAACGCCGGTCACCGGTGACTCCCATGGCAGGATGTCAGTGAAAAGCTAAGTACATATTTAAACATTTGCGAACATAAAGCGTATGGGATATTATGTAATTATCTTTTCGGGAAATAAAGATCGTAGCGGGTATCCCTACGAAATAAATACGTTCACGGTTTTTGGACGAAAAGCTAGTTTCTTTTCAAATCTAATTACTAAATTGAAAAAAATTCTATCCAATACTTATAGTACCGATTGCTTAAGGACAAGTTCAGGTATCAGGCTGATACACACGTGCTGAAATCGCTCCATGGAGGAAGGCTTAGCATTTGCTGTTGGAAATAAGCCTTGTGAAAATCTATAGTTCCTTCTAGTAACATACTAAAAACACTACTTGATAGAAGATGAAGTCCGAATCTAATGTTTTGTTCTGTTTTTTGTATCAGGCAGACATGTTCGTCGGCCGCCAGCCTGCCAGCCTGCTAGCCTGTCAGCTCGACGAGACCCAAATTGTTTTACTTTGTGACAAATGATTATGTCTGCCGTGGACCCTAGGAGTACTTTAAGTGCACTGTAACTGTAGCGTATATAAACATTTTGTGAGAAATTTAAAATTTTCAGTACATTTTGACGTTTCTACAATAGTAAGTTAATGAAATCGTGAGTGTCTTGTGATTGTGCCCTGAGAGAAATTTTAGTAAGCGTTAAATTATTATTTAAACGTATGTTCAATCGTTTTGTGATATAATATAATATTCGACTCGTTCCAATTACTTGTTTCTTTTTTATAATTAAACAATACTGACTGTCTCATTGGCCGAGTGGTCGTATGTGCGACTGCCAGGCAAGGGGGTATCGAGTTCGAATCCCGGGTCGGGCAAAGTATTACTGGGTTTGTAAAAACCTCTATAGTAGCACGGAGACTGGAAATGTGTCCGGTCTATGGCAATAGGCTCACCCCCTATTACATGGGACGCATAACATAAATAGAGAAAAGTGGGTGTAACATTGCACAGTGGCATCAAGTGCCGTAATGTGCACCTTTGCCTACCCCTTTGGGGATAAAAGGCCAGTGCGGTAATTATGACGGCCTAAAGTCAGAATGGTTCCATTGGGGGAAAGAAACAGAGCTATACAAGTCGTGTAGCGAGATCTCGTTCCCCCAGCGGAACCTCTTTGGTTTTAAGACGTCATAATATTGCCACCTGATGTAATGTTATAATTAAACAGTGTAATTTTGTTAAAGGAAAATCTGAGTTTTGTATTGTAAACGTTTATTAAAATAGTTTTGTAATTCATCTATTCTTAATCTATCTTAAGTATTATAAAATAAGATCAAAGTACATGGCACTTAACGCTAATATCACACAGTTTAATACAGGGGAACAAGGGGAACTTTGCTTACAAAAACATTTCTTTATTAAGCCACATGTGTAACACACGGCAAACAAATCGACTGGCGAAGAATGTTGAGGCCCCTTAAACTTCCGAGGTAATGTAAAACGAAAAACAATCGTACAATTGGATACTTTCCTTAGTCAAAAATATATTATTTCGATTGTTCAATACAATAACATATTAAAAAATAATCACACTTTCATTAATTGATTCTTTGAACAAGCTAATATTAGTATTTTTTCAGCAATTAAAAAAAATAAGTATGCTGTTTGTCGCTAAAAAAACGTGACGTCACAATACACAATCTCGTACAAAATTCATAGAAAACTGTCGTTTTTGACAGTTCGGAAAAAGTTTTTTTACGGATTAGGAGGCAAACGAGCAGACGGATCACCTGATGGTAAGCGGGCGCAACACCAGAGGCGGCACAGGTGCATTGCCGACCTTTTAAAAAGGAATACGCTCTTTTCTTTAAAGTATTGAATTTGACTAGTTAGCAAGTACCCAATTTGCCTGTTCTTTGTTTGATTTACTCCCAAACCTCCCTGCAGACACCCATCACATCCCTCTCAAAACCGTCTTCACATGGAGGGTACCTCGTGAAGAACAGTACGTTGTTTACCGGCACGAACCGATTTGGTTTGATGTTACGTATCACCTCCTGAAAAGAGAAAAAGTCGTGATCATTTATCATTCATCGATTTTAGATCGTACCACCTGCGGATAAGGGCTATTCTTAACTGATAAGCTAATCCAATTTCATGATACGAAAATGACAGAGATGATCCTACAGTCGTCTGTGTGTTCTTGTTTTAGATTTAAAACCGACTTCAAAAAAAAGAAGGACGTTCTCAGTTCGACTTATATGTATATACTAGCTACTTCCGCGCGGTTTCACACGCTCTGCTCACCTCGTATGGGTCGTAGCGTGATGTTTTATAGCCTATAGCCATCCTCGATAAATGCGCTATCCAACACAAAAAGAATTATTCAAGTCAGACTAGTAGTTACGGAGATTAGCGCGTTCAAACAAATAAACAAAAAAAAAAGTCTTCCGCTTTATATAATAGTATAAGAGTATATGTATGTATATTGTATGTAAATGCGCAATTATCTCGCGATTGGCTGAACCGATTTTGATACGGTTTTCATAAAAGTGTTTGTTACACTTAGGAGAAGGTTCTATGTCATACTCAAACATTACTTAAAATTAAGTCGCGCTTAAGTGGCATGACAGAGATGGCATAATATTAAGTGCCTACAACTTAAAATTAAGTTGCCTTCTAGAGTTCCTATATTAATTAAGCGACGTTAAAAAGGAGGGGATTAAATTCGAGTTTTTAATATAGTTTATAAAATAAATATAACAATAAAAAAGTTAAGTATCACAAAGTAGGTAAGTTATAAATCTACATTGTATGATTAGAATTATTTATGTGAACGATTTGGACTGATATGATAAAGATAAACGTTTATAAAAACAACAATATAAAATACATATGGTCAGTTACAAGTTGCGAGTACATTCAAGGAAATATATTATCTTCAAGGAGTCTGTATGATAAGTGTCTTGAATGATAAGGCAAGGTCTTAATAATTGATATGAATCCGTAATATCTGGACTGTTTTTTTTTAATTAAGGTCGTTACTAACTTGGGCGTATAAAGAGAAGTCAAGAACTGTTTGCAATATTAGCGGTACCTAATGTTATTATTTTATTCTTTAACTACCGACCTAAACCTTCCTTAAGAACTATCTATTAAAAAAAACTGCATCAAAACCTGTTTTGTAGTTTTAAAGATCTAAGCATACATAGAGACGGCGGATAGCGACTTTGTTTTATACTATTAGTAAGGATATTTTATCCACATGGATATGGTTATGAATGAAACTTATTTTGTTTTTGCTTTTTCTGACAATGGCATGACATTTTTAGGTTTAAGTACTCATAAATCATTCAATGAATAAGTAGTTTCTCAGAAATATCAAACGAGTATAGGGCTATTTTCGCCAACTAAAATCATGTCTTAGTTAAGAGTTACTTAACGAGACGAAGGACACTTACTTGTACTATTAGATGTAACTTATAGATTGGTGAAAAACAAAATCTCATTTTAATTGTTATCTATTTTAGCTTAGAAGTCTCTTAAAAGGAAGAGGTCGGTGAGAACGAGCATTGCTTGTCTGCCGACTGGGTAAGTAATTAATAAACTACAATTTGATTCTTGATTTTTTACTTCTCTCACAAATATGGTGATTTGTATGTGGTTATGGTCAGTATGTTGCTAATTAAATAAATGAATGGATGATATTGTAATATTAATATATAAGATGCCTAACATTTTCGTGCAATTTGGACAATGGACAACGTTTTAAACTTTAGTAACTAAATATAAAATTTGTACTTACAATTGGCATGCCGTCAATGTCTGTGAAAATCGGTTCGCTATCGTTGATCTCATCTTCCTCCGTCTGTGCTACACTCTTCGGGTGTATATGCTTGGCATAACCAAGAACAAATACTAGGGACAATACTACTAATAAAATAAACTTGGCCATCGTCGCTAAAGGCTTTTGTCAAACGTGTATCGCTATCAAACGCTCACAATTTGTTTGGTGCTGGAAACATTCTTGCAGCCTTTTAAATGTTGTTCTGTTATCTTTGGGATCGACATCCTACGTCACAGATACGCAAGAGCCGAGCTGACTGGCCCGTTATTTGTTTAGACTCGACGCGAATGTAAACACACGATCAGGGGGATCGACTGTTTATTTCACTGCCATACGTCACGCCAGCCTTCCCAATATACAATTCTTCTGAATCTTACGCAACTTTATTCGATTACAGGAAGGATAAAACCAATATTAAACTTGATAAATACGTAATACGTGCAGTTTTGCATGTCATGCTTAATTAATTCTCACGATTTTTGATCGTAAAATTCGGATTTACCATAGGGGAAGTGAGCAAGCGCTCTAATTTGAAAATAGCATTTGAAAAAGAAAATGCGATTATAAAGAACATTTTGAAACTGAGAATTCCCTCTGTACCACTTTGATGTGACAATACCAAAAAAAATATATTTACGAGTACCTACAATACTTTAAGATAGGTACATATTACTTTCCGACTCCCCCAATTATCTAATTTTATTCGAGTTATTTTAAACAAGGTGACATCAAAATTTTCATTAAAAAAACAAATAGTTGAATTAAATATGTAATCTAGGTCAACTACGAACCTTCCACATAGTACATAGGTGCAAAATTATAACCTCGATTTTTAAGTAGGTCTCATAAAACTGTTATTATAGGTACAAGCTATTGCACAGCCCGGCAAAATAATTAAATAATTACCTGTATTAGATATTATGTCGCATGGTTATGAACATATACCCATTAATATTGTCATTAACAGGCTTGTTAACAATGATGTATTATCAATTTACAGTTGTTAACCCTGGTGAAGATAGTTTATTATCCTTGCCACATTCTACATTTGCATTCGATATAAAAATCT